TCTCAAAATACATTTGCTGTGTTAAAGAATGTAATTTTCTGTTTCTTTCAAACAAATTCTGTGTGGGTGCTTTTTGTTTCTAAACATTTCAGAAAACAGCCCTATCGACTCGATGGAGAGGAGTGAGGGGGGTGGAGAAGTAAGTTTATTTTCTTGTTTTGCTTTTTCGGAAATTATGTATCGTTAAATGGTGGAAGATGAGAATATTTTTGTCAGTAAAATGTTTATGCTTTCGAAAATCGATTTTCGTTGCTTCCATTATTGAAAACAAACAGTTTGTTTATTGTGTTTATCTAAAAGTTTCTAGTTTCATTGATCTGTTAACCAAAAAAGCTTTTACACACACACACACACACACACACACACACACACATATATATATATATATATATATATATATATATATATATATATATATATATATAGATAGATAGATATATAAATAGATAGAATGATAGATATATAAATACATGGCATAGTTTTTACTTATCAAAATATTTTATTTGCGTTTTATGCCAATTTTAGATTAAATTGTGTATTCTTTCGGAAGCGAACGATTCCATTTTTTTTTATTTCAAGGATTTTCCCAGATATTTTAGCTTGACTACCTTTTATCTGTCCCATGATTCTCGGGAAAGACATCAACTCGAATATTTAATGGAATTATTAAACTCACTTACAGATAATTACGGTGGTGAAGAATAAATTCAAAGGTAACTTAAGAATTATAACTAATAATTTAAACAAGATAATTCCTCTTAGTACGACCCCAGATCCGACTTCAATAAGCATCTATTGCTTACTGCCACATCAGGTTGAAACATAAGTTCCCGCACGAAGTTAAGCAACCTCTAATCTGCTCCGTACCTTGATGGGTGGCCGCTTGGGAATACCAGTTGCTTGGATGTATAATGGAGTTGAGAGCCGAGTTCCAATTCCATTTGGGTCCGTTTTATTCATTTACGCGCACATATCCTTGGGAAAAGGTATGAACCCACTTCTTTTACCCCCAGCTATGGGTTAATTAGTAAAACTTGTATAACTATACCATTATTATCTTTAAAAAAAATCTTACAATCTGCATATATTTTCTGGCTTTAAATAACTTCCAGTTGTTTGCTAAGCCGTACAAAACGAATCAATCCATCATTTATACTCAACGTAATGGGTATAATACTAAAACTTGTATATAAGCGTAGCTTTAATGTTGTAGAATGCATGTTTTTTATCATAATCCTTTCATATCCACGAATATTTCTCAGTATATTACAATGTAATAGGGCAAGAAATGCACTGAAACAGTGCATTTTTTACTTTATTCAGTTCTAATATACGGAAAAATATTCGTGAATTTGAAAGGATTATCATAAAAATAAACAAACATTATGTTAGTAAATTATTCAATAAGACATGGCTAAAAGAGAATTTGCCGCCAAAATACACAAATGTATACAGTAAGCCACCGCTTATTTCCCAACTACACACATTCGCGGGTTTTTCTTTAGAACATATGTACTTGTTATTCGTGGAAACCCCGAATATTCGAAGAATATATGTACACATTATTCGCTGATAACTCCCTCAGTTTGCGTATTTTCTCGATAAAACATATTTAAAATATTCTTGTATTATTTTCCTGTTATTTAAGTGACTTAACACATATAAAAGTCCATTTTTATGGTAAAAATTGGCAGAATTGTACATCATTAAAAAACAAACGCAAAACCATGCGTAGTGCTTGGGCTTTGTTCCCTGTTAAGGGCTGCGGCTTAGGTTTTAAAAGTGGTTCTGTTTTTAGAAAATGTTTTAAACTTCATATTTTGTCTTGTTACAATACAATTTATACAGTATTTTCAATGGTTGTATCGATTTATACGTGATTAAACACGGTTATTGTACGTATGAAAGAAAATTTACGCTAAGACTATGGTCACCAATACTATTTTTAAAAAGTATTCTAAAATGGGTGTGAAATGTTTCTAAACTGTTTAGGATGAAAGTTTAAGGCATCTGGGGTTTTAACAATCAAAATAGGTACTTATAAGCACTTTTAGGGGGGTCACAAGTATTCGCGGATTCTAACTATTCGTGGCCGGTTCTGGTCCCTAACCCCCGCGATTACGGGGGTGGAGCTCACTGTATACTAGTCGGATTAAATGAATGCATTAGAAACCCAATTGCCATTGTCAGTAATTCTTACCAGAGAGGAATATCAGTGTCAGCAAGATTCCTAGAAGAAACAAAATTAATTAAACAGAAGCAGTAGAATTTAAGACGTTAAAATCAAACGGGGAATAACGTTTTATCTGCCCGACGAATCTCAATACATGCTCATTTCAAACCAGAATTTGCAGGTCTTCTAGTGAAAGATAATGATGTCAATTCACATTATATTTTCCATGGTTTTAAATTCAGGTGTCAGCTAAGATTAAAGAGCCCAATCTGGTCTGTAGTTGGGTACAATCTGCCCGATAGTTTAAGGGAGTATAGGTTCACGCCTTTCCAAAATGCTTCTCAGTCCGCTGATTCCATCTGAACACATCTCTTAAAATTCTACCTTCTTTCGGTATGTTCTCCACAGATGTCCTGTTCTTTATTATCTGTTAGTTGCAATGACTAATCCTGGAATTTAGTTGCACGATTTCGCGTAAATTTTTACACGGTTTTCGAGTCAGACCCATCTTTTTCTTACATCTTCTGTCAACCAAGGCTAGCGGGCTTAGTCTTCCCTGCTGTTTAATTCACTGTGGAAGTAAAGTGATTGAGTCATGCTTTTCCCGAGGGCAATAGTGCGAAATCCGTATTGCATGGAATTAAAGAGGGGGGGGGGCATTGCTTATTTTTTGATTGGTACGAAAGTTTTGTCTAATCATAGATCTATGTTCGGTTGCTGAGTGGAATTTTTCATCATGATGACTATCGCTGTCATCAAAATTATATCCATATCGTTTTTATTACGGTTGTTCACCCAGTACTGTGGCCGAGAGCCAGCTAAATAAGGGGTTACTAGCTGAGGCTGAAGCAGGTGATTTGAAAGGGTGAAGATTGTAGAGATACGGGAAGTATCCTCTCGGGAGTCTGTTGCAAAATGTAGTGACTCTGATTCAGACGGAATTGTAACATTTATTTGTTTATTATTTAAATTTACAACAGTGGTGATATACCGGAAGATCTAAGTAGCTCTATTTTCATAGCACTGCCTAAGACACCAGGCGCAAACGAATGTGAACTGAATCGAACAATAAGCCTAATGAGCCACATAACAAAAGCGAACAGAAGAAAAAGTTATATTTTATACTAAACAATTAAAGAAAAAAAATAATTTAAATTAAGAACATCGTTTAAAGTCTGTCTATATTTCTGAGATGAGGTATTATGTACATTATTTACATTATTCGGATTATTGTCCTTATCTTTGTCGCCATATTTATCACAACGTTTCGGCCGTTGTACGCTCCGGCCTTCTTCAGGTGGTTGGAATTTCAAACTGAACCCTTTATTTCGCACACTGGGGTAGACTGTTCTAGTTCCACGTGCCATGTTTGATGGGTGTCCGTTATCAGTTATCTCCTGCTAATTTCCCCCTGAAAGTTCTCCACTGCCTTAACCGGGTATGGAACTCACACTCTTTGGGTCCTGTCACAGGATCTAACCAACGCCTTTATCCACTGTGCCATGGGTCCTTGAGGACAACTTAAGTTTTTTCTTAAAAATGTGGATAACTTAATTTTTTTCTTAAAAATTACTGAAATGCAGACATTTTAAAATATGCTTCCAGTTTTGACCATTAATTGCACCATTAGTTAGTCCTAGTATATAACGCCATGTAGTATACACAAATAGATATACATTTATTATTTATCTAGCTAGCTACCTAGCTATATATATTTCTATCTATACTGGTTAAATAATAAAAGAAAAAGAAAAAAATTCTAAAGGCAGTGTTTCATTTCGAGAATGTACATTACACTAATAACCATTTAATTTATGGAATTCCATTTCTATATAAAATAAGGACGCGAAGGCGTGGTTCCATCAGTAATGTCAGTAATAGTCTGAAGAAGTTCTTACATGGAACCAAACACCTCACAATGACTAATTTTTATGCTGAGAGATAGAGGGGTTAAGAGAGAGAGAGAGAGGAGAGGGGAGATAAGAGAGAGAGAGTCAACAGAGTTAATTCAGGCACATGGGTACATCAATCGAGCTGCTATATATATATATATATATATATATATATATATATATATATATATATAGGGGAAGAGGTTATAGTAGTTCCAACAAGAGAAAAGTGTGTATATTAAAAAAAAGAGAGGTACCGCAAACGTTTTTGGTTGTAATGTCAATTTTATTAAAATAATATTGTTTTATTTTCCATAATTTTGCTACACGTGTTTCTGGTCTCGCGACCGTCTTCAGGTAAAAGGCGGAGATTTCCACATATTAAAAAAAATTTTTTTTTTTCTCCTTTGTGTTTTTCGATGTTAAATATTCTTGATATGAGACATTCTCTGTTTTTGTCTTAGTAATCCGAATGTCTTTCTTGAATTGGCAGTGAAGAGTTCTGCGCGAAGGATCATAAAACAATTAAAGTTGGTCCAAGAGAAATGATGAATTAGTTATCGGTATCTTATCTTTTAATGTTTGATTGACCCCTGTATGTTCTTAAGTCTATTTTCCATCTTCGTGTGTTTCTGTCAGCATGTGTGTGTATATGTGTGTGTATATTCCCCCTCCATACATACACACTGTCTCACTACAAGGAATTAATAAACACATTTGTACACCTACACACACACAAACACACACACACAGAGAGAGAGAGAGAGAGAACATAGTTAATTCCATTCAACATAGTTATATATAGGCATAATATATATATATATATATATATATATATATATATATATATATATATATATATATATATATATATATATATATATATATAGAGAGAGAGAGAGAGAGAGATGAATGGATGGGTAATGAACATAGATTTAAATAGACATCGTTATATCAAAAAGATAGATAGATAGATAGATAGATAGAAAACAAATAAACACTCCACTATCTTTCCAAAGTAGTGCGTGCGTATATGCGTGTGTATATTCCCCCTCCATACATATACACTGTCTCACTACAAGGAATTAATAAACACATTTGTACACATACACAGAGAGAGAAAAGAGAGAGAAAGAGAGAGAGAAAAGAGAGAGAAAGAGAGAGAGAAAGATTCAACAAAAGTTAATTCAGGCACAAGGGAACATCAATCGGGCTGATATATATATATATATATATATATATATATATATATATATATATAGAGAGAGAGAGAGAGAGAGAGATGGATGGATGGGTAATGAATATAGATTTAAATAGACATCGTTATATCAAAAGATAGATAGATAGATAGATAGATAGATAGATAGATAGATAGACAACGAATCAACACTCCACTATCTGTCCAAAGTAGCGATAACAATTCACAGATAATAAAGAAAAGGTGTCTGTGGAGAAGACAACGGGAAACCTATCCACTATCTTTCCCAAGAACGCATTGTAAGGAATATGGAAAAGCCAATGGAAAACCTCTCCACTATCTTTCCTAAGAATGCATGACAATTCACAGATAATAAAGAAATGCATTTGTGGAGAGCTATGGTAGCCTACGTCCTGAAGCGACGTGCATTTTAAAATAAAACAATTCTTTGTTGATTATTAATTATTTTTTTTTAGGCAAATGTTTAAAAGCTTCTAGCTCACGATATCTGAATTTCATGCTTGCACAAGTTCAAGCAAGGTTATGATTGGCCTGAAACCACCAGTTAATTTTTGCATTTGTAGAAAAGATTGTGTTAACACAGAACATATTGTTTTTAAGAGTTTGCAAATCGATACTGTTGCACAGAAAACATGTATAGAGGTCTGCCCAAAATGTCAGTTAATGACAAACATTCGGAAATTGTTTAAAACTCCAACTTAAGTAATTGAAAACTTAGGATATATATAAGGGTGTTTCATTAAGACGGATTATATATAAGGGTGTTTCATTAAGACGGATCAAAGTCAGCAATAAATAAATAAGTGTTATTGGTGAAAATTTATTTATTTCATTATTGGAACATGTTATTTAAGTCATAGTAATTATGTGTGAAAAAATATCGTCCAACTGTCCGCTAAGGCTTCAGCGACACACCTCCACTCGATCGTCAAAATTTTTGATGTCCTCTCTGCATAGTTGTTCTTCGATTTCACCTATATGGAATATTATCTCATCCTTCGTCTGTTGAATTGTTGTTGGCTTGTTGGCATAGAACTTACTTTTGAGCTGACTCCAAAGGAAGAAATCTAAAGGCTTCAAGTCGCACGATTGTGGTGGCCAATTGACTTCGATGTTTCGAGAGATGATGCAACCTTGGAACTTCTCATTGCATTTCTGTTTGAACGTCCATTTTCCTAAGAGACTTCGATAGTTTAAACGCGTGGTTTGATTGTTAATCTTTCCAGGGTTGAAATTGCCAAAGAATTAAGTTGTTAAATCCAAAAGAAAAAGAAAGAAATCTTTAGAAGCTGAAACTTAATTCACATTTAAAAAATCAGTCAAGTTATTGGAAAATCCTTCATTATATATATATATATATATATATATATATATATATATATATAATTTTTATGTAGTGATTTCATAATATATTTATGTTATAATTTTCAATTAATTATATATATATATAATTTATTCGAAAATTATAACATAAATTATGAAATCACTATAACTAGCTTTTGTTTCAACACTTCTGATTCACCTCCATCACTTGATAAGACACGAAAAATGTTGAAACAAAATGGCTATTTTAGTAGTGATTTTATAATTTTCGAATAAATTATATTTGCTCTACTCTGTATTAGCACATATTTAAGAATAGTATTTTTTGGTTATTGGAATTTATTCCGTATACACCAATCCTATATTTATATATACATATAAAAGTGAACATAGAAGTCAACACTTAGAGGCGACAGTCTGTTTCATGCTAGATGCAATCGTCATAGCACATCTTAAGACTATATTTCTTCATGTATATATATATATATATATATATATATATATATATATATATATTTATGTAAGAAATATTTTTTAATCCTTTCACGAAAAACAAGGTAATAAATCCACTCAAACTGAAGGGGTTACTGAGCGTTAGACAATATGAGAAAAATAAAACATTATTAAGGAGAGAGAAGAATAAAAAATTAAAAAAATAAGATAGATGATACCGATTGACATTGCATTTAAATCGACTGGGCAGCAAGAAGCCAGAAGAAAGTTCCACATGCCAGAAATGCGATAGAAGAAACTGTTAGCATAGACCTTGCCGCCATTCTAGTCTTGATATCATAGCAGAAATTAATATTTATTTTGTTTTAATACAAACATGTGGCAAAAAGGTAGGGATAGGGACTGTCTTATCTTAAACTTATCTAGCCACAATTACTGAACTAAATATGACACAATAATCCTTACACCAAAACAAAATATTCTTACTTACCATTCTTACTACAGACACTATAATACCTCAAGTCTTCTAACTAGTGCAATAAAAATGTGGAATTTGTCGGTGGGGGTTGGGAATAAAAAATACTATCGGGGGAAAATCTATCAGAATAATTACAATGAAAGTATTTATAGAAATGGCACAAGGAAGCTACATTACGGCGGTGGGAATGTGAATTATGCTGGGATGCCAAATCAAGCCCAATAACATTGCCGATTCTTCTTTGGATTTTATCAAGAATGTCTAAATATATAGCAGGAGCACCAGACCAGAGCATCCTGGATACGACGATAAACTACATCCGCGTCCTGGGTAAGACGACAAATTACATCCAACAGCAAGGCCTGTGATCAGGAGGTTTTAAGGAGCATGGAACCACCTCTTAATTGTTGGTGTTCCCAGGTTCACCTTGACCTGGGGTGGTAGCACCTTTTAGGGTCCCAGCTATTGGCAAATAGTTGACCCCCTCCCCAAACAGGGCTGAAAACACTATGAAAGTGTTAATATAGGTTTTAATACCAGAAATATTTTTTTGTAAAAAAAATATTACCAGAAATATATTTTTGAAAAAAATAATATCAGGAATACATTTTTGAAAAAAAATATTACCAGCAATACATTTTTGAAAAAAATATTACCAGCTATACATTTGAAAAAAAAATATTACCAGCAATAGATTTTTGAAGAAAAAAAAATATTAACAGCAATAGAATTTTGAAGAAAAAATATTACCAGCAATAAATTTTTGGAAAAATATTACCAGCAATACATTTTTGGAAAAATATTACCAGTTATACATTTTTTGAAAAAAATATTACCAGCAACAGATTTTTGAAGAAAAGAAAATATTACCAGCGATAGAATTTTGAAGAAAAAATATTACCAGCATTAACAATTTTGCCGGCATTAAATAACTGATTGATTTTAATAAGCCGTAAAAAAAAACAAAAAAGAAAAAACAGATGTGGCAGAAATATTCACAGCAAAGACGAATATTAGGTTTATAAATACGTAAGATAGATTCAGGCAATAAAAATTGTTTAATATGACACAGGGAACCAACTTTCCTAGCATCAGACCCAGCAACAGAATCAATATAATATTTCCACTTCATGCCCACGGAAAATGTTAGTCCGAGAAGAAGCCATACTGGTGGATAGCATCAGCCATACTGATTGAAAGCAAAAATCGTAATCTCAGGCGATTACAAGAGAGAAAGCTTATTGTAGAAGAATTTAAATTAACAAACCGCCCCTTGCCCCAGTTAGCAACGGAATTTAGATAACATTCTGCATCAGATGCCAGTTTTAGCTTATAAAAACGCTCAGGCTTACTATTAATACAAATACAAAGTTGATAAGTGATGCCATCAGGAAAGACATTGATGAAAATTAGGAAGAACATAGGTTCAAGGATATAGCCCTGTGGGTCATCTGCTTTGATGCTAAAATGATATAGAAGAGTGGCCGTTCAAGACAGTTTCCATTTCCCGATTCGGTAAGAACTCTGTGTGACGTCGTCCCCTGGTCGCAGCGCCGACTGTGACGTTCTATCCTGATCTACCACGGCACCAGCTGTGACGTCCCTAAACAGCACCAATTGTGACGTCCTCGCCGCGGCGCCAGCCGTTCGCTCCTCGCTGCTCCGTTCGGGTGTCGCTGCTCCAAACGTGACGTCCGCCTGTCGCGTCAGTCTTGTTGTCTCGTCCTGTGACGACCAACTGTCTTGGTATCGGTAGCGGCACCCAAATGTGACGTTCTAACCTTTTGGTGATTCGGGTGGGAATCTGGTTAGATTTGATATCAGCCTCGTCGTTCCCAACTCGCTTCCAACGCCTGGTTACCAAGGTAACTGCATTGATCTCAGTCTGCCAACCCACGTTGTGAATTGATCTTGAACAGACGAGATCAAACAGTGGTAGGGGCCGTAATGCAAACTGAGTTCAACGGGGTGATACCACACAAATATGCATAAAAGAAAATAAAATGAAAACTGAATAAGTTCAAAGTATCAAAGAAAAAGGTAACAAACTTTATGTTCGGTTGTTCGATACATAGGACTGCATCTATCTCCCGACCCGTTCTGTGGATTGTGACACGTCGTTTTCCGTTAGGCAAGTTTTAACGCTTCAAGTTGTTTGCTCTCTAAGAAATTGGTGTTTCGGTGTGTCTTTGGACGAAAGTAAAAAAAAAAACTTATTTCGGTGGTCTGGATCTAAGTCACTCTTCAAAATAATTGTTCTTGGTTTGAAGAGGAGTCCGGAATTTGCGTGAATCTTGGTCAGCTATCTGCGAAGCGGCTTCAACTGCGAGCTTTGAGCTCTCTGCTGCAACAACTCAAATCTCCGCTGGAGCCCGAACTGATTTCTGCCTGTTGGGGCCTCGCTTTTTATTGACGCCGACCAAAACCGGGTTGGGTCTGTCGGCGTCAGGGGTTCCTCGATAATTCTAAATACATATCCACCTCTTTTATTTCTGGTTAGGGATTTTCAACTCTTTTCCATTTTTGGGAACCTTTCCTCACTCCCACTTTCTCACCATACTTCTGAGAGGCGTGAACTTCCCTCCCCACTTCTTCGTAGCAGCTTCTCATACCTATACTCTGGATGAGGCGTCGACAGCCTTCTTCGTGCGTCACGTGATCACCACTCGGCCAATGAGGTCTTAGTCAGATATCTTTCCTCCTCCTCCGTGCGTCACGTGATCACCACTTGACCAATGATGTCTTAGTCGGGCGTGAACGAATCCGCGGCTTTGTTTCGGAAAAAAAATATCTTGCTTAACTAATAAAAATTATCTCTTCTCTTTCCCTTTTCTTCCGCTTTAATCGCCGTTATCATTTTTCTAGCCGCAAACGGACAATATAACAACTCTTGTTCTACACGTGGTTTTTGTCAGGTATTTTATC